TCGATGTGGCAAAGGTCACCACGACGTGGTGGCTAAGCTGGTCACGATTATTTTGTCGTATCGACACCACGATGTGATCAAGGATGACCATGACATGGAAGACAATATGTTGACTTTTGGTTTGACTATCGTTTGACCAATTATGACGAAGGTTATTTTGATATTAATTTGGGCCATGGTTTGAATAATAGGGGTCGGGTAGAGCCCATATTCGGCGCATGGATTATTCAGATTTTGTTTGGATTGAGAGGTGAGTTTTCCTTACTGCACTTATTGATTCGAAGGCACCAATGACGACCCAATAGATTATGTATCATGGTTCAAAGGATGTTAATATATTATAGTGATTTGTAGATCAGTATTCTGGTATATAGGATGTAGTATGCAGCAGTGGTATGTGAATATGCTTGTTTGTCTGATAATTGGTTGTATGCTTATCTATTGTTGGATATATGTTTATATCGTATGTATATTTCAACATAATATGGTTGGGTTGAGATAGTACTGCTTCGTGTGGTAGCCAACAAACCCGGGAGCAAGCCAATCATAAATTGTAGGCCCCGAGGGCAAGCTAGACTTATGTTGTTGGCTCGGCAACAAGCCCGATATGAGTTGTAAACTCGATAGGCAAGTCAGACTCATATTGTGGGCTCAAGGGTAATACAGTCTTTTAGCTGGAGATCTCTTAGCTATAAATACATTCCCTTGGGCATCAAATTTCTTGGCTCCCACTTCCTAAAGGGTTGTTAATGAAATCTTGCTCTTTTTTCTCTATCCTATCTTGTCTTTTAGTTATTGGTTTTGGGTGTGATCCATTAAAAGCATTGGTGCTAAGCTTTCCAAGTCCAACAACTACAAGGGATTGAAGCTATTTGTTTACTACAGCAAGTCAAAGGTATGTAACCCTAATTCTTGTATTTTGATAATACTAGGGTTTCATTAGGTTTCATGTTATTTTGTTGTTCATTGTATGTTACATTCAAAGTGTTAAGACATAGATCCTTTAGGTTGCATGTGCCCTCAAGTGTTAAGTGAAATTCCGCAAGCAAATAGTTGATATAACCTATAAAATCCATCACCTTCTTTACTTTAACTATAACACTTCAAGCTCTAAACTTCCCAAATAAATCACCTAATATCATTACAAGGTGTTAAATGACCCCTTCAATGGGTCAACTACTCATTCTAAGCTCAAAATACCCTAAAATGTCATATTGTGGATCATATAAGAAAAAAGGAACTAAATGAATGAGCTAGACACGAAGCACAAGCATAACAAAAAACTGAAAACAAGGTATGACAGTAACCTCGCCGTAAACAACAATGGTCCGCGTTGAAGAAACCTAAATATATGCAAAAATCTAGTTTTTATTTCTCATTAGCTATCTAAATCTATAAACAGTTCAATTGACTTGAGGACATCAAACATAAGTTATAATACTTCAAAAGAACATAATAAGGATCACTAATTGGTTCATATCATTAGAATTACCTTAAAACGTTTACATTTTTATATAAATCTTTTTAAAGATAAATGAGCATCTAAATTCTAAAATTAAGGGAATTGCTTCAAAGACCAATTGGTATGACTCCACACATACTAATACTCGTATTAAAACCACTTTTATGAGGGAATGCGTTATAAACACTTCAAACTTGAAACATGCACAATATCAAGTTCCAATACTCTTATTGTTGTAGTAAAAAATTGATCAAAAAAATATATCAACCAATATGTATGAGAGGCTATGGTGTTATGACTAATCTGGATATAGAATTGAGATTAAAATGACGCATATGGTTTACAAGGAAAACCCTTTATCCTTGCTAGGATCACTAACATAAAACATTGGGACGTGATAATGATCACCTGTCTTGTTTAATTTTATTAATCAAAGTGCAAAGTACATAAAAGAATTTGAGAATATGAGTACAAGTGTTCTAGTTACCCTAGATCGTGTTCGTGATGTGATTTTTACAAGTGTATTCATAGCCTAGGTCGAATAACTAAAAGTTTGATATTTCTATGATCATGTTGAACAAGTTTTTGCACGTTGCCTTGACTTGGTATTTTTGGTCTTATGTTTGATTAAAGCGGTTCATTAGAGTTGATAAGTCTTTCGTTGATTGTTTTGCACACGTGAAGAATAAACACTAAACATATTCGATAATTCTGTTAGGAAGTAATATTGATAATATTCAGGATTCTGAGTATATAAGTTTAAGATCCTGGTTATACTTCAAGATTCGGGATCTTGGAAATGTCTCAGGATCTTGATCCCCTAACACTTATGAACTTTTAAAAACATTAACACACCATTTATGACACCAGATGGAGAAATTATTTCATAATTCCCCAAAAGGTGATTAAATACCAACACTAGACTTGAAGGTCAAATTATAACGATGTGCTTACAGACGAGACAAATATTAGAGATCATTTATGATCAAGATATTCTTAAATCACCATAAATCCAAGGGTGCACTAAAGTACATAAAACCTCACCATGGGACAAAGATCATCACATTAACCATAGCTTGGAACAGATTCATATTCTAGACATAACACTAAACTCATATCATGGTATGGAACTATGGAACTTGATCTAAAACACTTAGGTCTTGAAAATACTCAAATCATCACATGAAAGCTACACTTGAATCAAACACTATATATCTCACCATTAGTCATGAATTAACAAATGGACCATAAATTTGAAAGAACATAAGCAATCAAATCACAAGTTCAAGCTCATATCATTGCTTAGAACCATAAATTTGAATCTATGAAGTTTAGGTTTAAAATATCTAAATTACCACCACTAGAACTAGAACTTAATTCAAACATTGTGGAGTCTCACCATAAGCAAAAGGGTTGAGAAATTGATCCTTGATTGAAGGGAAATGTACCATCTAACAATAAGCTCCAGCTCATATCATTGCTTGGAGCATCAATTTCGGATTTCAAGATCTAGGGTTTTGGAAACCCAGTAACTAGCCTTGAATCTCACAAATCTCCCAACTATTTGTTAGTTGGAGCTTGTAGATAAATCAATGAGTTAAATCACATCAATAATTTCACATTAACATCACAATTTAACCATAAAATTAGGATTTGCATTTCAATAAGAAACCTAGAATGAATTCAACGAAAAAGGGGGACAACTAATTCTTTGATGCAATATGTCGAGAAAGATCTGAGAAAGGATTAATCTACCAACTCCAAGCTTCAAAACTCTATGAGATTGGGGAAGAAAATTCGATTAAGGAGGTGTCGTGAGTAAAAAACGCGAAAGGGAGAAAGGAGGTGAAAAATAGGAAGAAAACAACATGCAACGATGTGATATCCTGCACAACGATGATGCGCTTTCCCAGGGCCGCAGTGTGCTCCCCCTAAATTTGGCAATTTTACATTTTAGGTCCCCCTTCCAAAATCCCCTATCTTAACCTATACAAAATCGGTCCTAGATGTTTATTTAGTCAAATTCTTGGGTCAAACACAATTTTTCCCAACCTATCACTTTTGGTCTCTAAACTTTAAGAGTTTTCACCCGATGGCTAAACTCTATCATCGTTTTTGTTTAATTTATTGACAAAGTTATTATTGTTATTGTTCAAAAATATTCATTTCATTTATTCATTCATTTATTTCACTCCAGTTTATATATTTTACTTTTTTTAGTTTTTACCAAAAAGCCAAACTTTTAGTCCCACAAACATGATGTTACACGCTTCGTAGGATGATGGTTAAAAAATTTCCCTTTAAGCGTTTGTATAAGGAAGAAAGGAAGAAGGATGAAGATCAATTAAAATAGCAGGATATATATGAGAGGTAAAAAGACATAATGACCCTTGTGTGAGGGGCATGTGTTTGACCTAATGACTGCAATTTAATAAAAGTTAAAAGCATAAGGACCATTTATACAAAACTAAAAGTTTAGGGACTTAAACCACTAATTTGTTGATTGATATATGATTTTATGAGGGTTAAATATCCTAGTGAGTGGGTGATAAATGAAAACATCAACAAGACGAGGGGATGTTCTCGTAAGTTTGCAAGTCATCCAAAAATTCAAAAAGCTTTTCTCACATCCTATGCACCTTCAGGTAACCGAAACACCCACTCACATCCAACCGTCCAGATAACCTCCCTCTTAAATTTCACAAAAAAGTATTGGCCGTTGGATCTAAATTTAGGGGTTTAGCAATCCCCTCTTCAAACCCGCCCACACTCTTCTACCCTTCCAACGCAAAACACACGCAATTCTCCCCTCCACCGCCTCCATCTTTTCACCACGGTTTCCCGTCCAACCACCGGCGGTTTTTCTGCCGCCTTCTGCCGGTGATCATTCTCTACGTCATTTTTCCGTTCAAGTTTCTGACTTCTTTTCTCCATGCTATTTTGTTTTCCTTGAAAAGAGAAGTTCTATTTTTTAGAAACTTAATTTTCTTTTCGATAATCAGGTTTTAGTGAAGTTCTTTCCATGGACGATCGATTTTTGTTTTTGCCACTTTCCTCAAACGATAATTGTCGTCCAACTGAAGCCTAATGCATTTTCTGTGTTGATTCAAGTACAATGTTTTTCGAATGGGATTATTTTTGCATTAACTTCTCTGCAAGTTAATTTATTTGAACTTTGCTGATTCAGAGAAAAATATGATATTTTGTAATATTTGTTTTTGGTAATTCTTACCAATTTTGTTGTTGATGTTGATATTATTCTTACGAGTACATGCCGTGTATGTTCTTCTTTGTTAACAATTGTAGAAATTGGCCACCGATTTTGAATTTTACTTTCAATTTGCTTCGTGTTTCAAGAATCTTGTTCTTTCTATCTACATAGAATCGCATATTTTTTTTTTCTCTGAAACCGACACATCTTTTAGCATAAAGAACTTCCCTTTATATTCCAAATTTTCATACGATTCTGAAATTTATTCGTTTAACACTTCCAAAGTTAGTGATTTTCAGGTGATAATAATAATCTTCAAAGGTTAATATGCCGGGCGACAAGAAAATTATGCAATGTATCCTTTCTATATTCCCTTTATTAGTACCATATTGTGTGCATGTCGCAGTTTAGGACATGTAATCTGTTTTATTTGTTGCTTTTTATACATATCTGTGGTTTTGATCTTCGAAATTGATTATTGTGGGGAATAACTTTGTTCATGATCATGATCATGATCATGTCTGGTTATTTATTTATAAGACTCTCGCTTTAGATTTCTTTAGCAGTTTGAAATCATTCAAAAACCTAGAAATGGCACATTGAATTTTAGTAGGAATCACAAATTTATATTCCCAAAATAGTTGAGAATGTATCAGAATTTCCATCCTCTTAAGTTGTGGTTTAACTTGTTTCTGTCTTTTCATTCTATGATTTCACTTAACTCTCTTAAACAGCTGACTCATTAGCCAAAAGAGACAATCAAAATCTGGTAATACATTTTTTTAAACTCCACTCCATTGTTTTCTTTTGTTAATATTATTGTATTTCTCTGAAATATTATTTGAATTCTTGTTTCAGGGCTCAAGAAAAGATGTCATAGTTTCAGGTGTGTCCTCTTCATCATCAGGAGTTTCTGCAAAAGGTGGCGTTGGCAATGGAAACAAAGCAGCTGCTGATCAAGGTGTTCAGTATTCATCTACTAGCTGTTATGATTATCAGTATCCAGGTAAGAAGTTTCATAGTCACACTTACACATGAGTTATATATACATACATGTATATATCTTTATATTGTATGGTTTAATTTTCAGAAAATTATTTATTTGGTTTGATTGTTTATTTATATTTTATACTAGGACACAATGGAACATATAGTCAACTAGATGGATCTGGTCAAATGAGTTCCAATGGGGCTGTTTACTCTGATAATGGATCACTTCTTTATTATATGCCAAGCTATAATCCTTATGCTACTGGAGCTTATATGGGTGTTGATGGACAACAACAACAACAACATCAACAACATCAACAACAACAACCCTACTTTTCTTCATCAGAAGCCATTCCATGTTACTCATGGAATTCAACATATCCTGAAAATTCAACATCTTTTGGTACGAAATCAGTTTCTGGATCAAATGGGATGAAGTCAAACGATTTGAACTCCAAAAGAACCATGAATTTCTACTCTGGAAAATCTCCTAATTACCCTTTGGACATGAAGTCAAGCCAACATTCCACACCTTCTGTTCCTAAGTCTATCCTTCAGTCACAGCATTTCAGGTCGCTCAACAAGGTATGTGTTGATATCTGAGCTAAAAAAGTTGTGTAATAGAAAGAAAGGGACTTGAAGTGTTTTTAAATATTTATATGATTTTGTTTCAGTTGAATTCTGCTTACCAATCTGGGGGTCTTCAAAAAGGGTATCAACAATCTGGAAACTTCTCCTCATTTTCCTACCCAAATCAAGCACTATTTTCAAACTACTCTATGAACTATTCTTCTGGGGGTAGACTTTGGAATGAAAATGATAGATACAAACCACGTGAAAAGTCTTACAACAATGGAGAATCTGAAGAACTTACCCGTGGCCCAAGGGCACAAAGCGTAAATTCACATTTTGAGGAAGAAAA